ATCCCGAAATCCCCCCTCAGGACCCCGAAATCCCACAAAAACCCCAAAACCCACCCTCAGGATACCCAGAATCCCGAAATTCCCCCAATTCCCCCCTCAGGACACCCGAACACCCAAATTCCCCCCTCAGGACACCCAAACCCCCAAAATCCCACAAAATTCCCCCTTCAGGATACCAAATTTCTCCTTTTTGGACCCAAATTTTCCCTTTCTGGACCCAAACTCCCCCTTTAGGGTCCATCCTTCCCATCTGAGCACCCAAATTCCTTTTTTTTTTTTTGCTCCAAATTCTCCTTTTTGGGCCCCAATTCTCCCTTTCTGCACCCAAATTCACCTTTTTTAGACCCAAATTGTCCCGGTTTTTAGCCCGAATTCCTATTTTTGGACCCAAATTCTCCCTTTTTTCCAGCTGTAATTCTTCCTTTTTGAGCTCAAACTTTCCCTTCCTTAACCCAAATTCCCCTTTTTCAGTTTCAAATTCTCCCTTTTTGGACACGACTTCCCCTTTTTCGGGTCCAAGCCTCCCACCTGAACGCCCAAATTCCCATTTTAGCCATAAAATCTCCCTTTTTTCAGGCGAATCCCCGTTTTGAGCCCAAATTTTCCCTTCCAGGACCCAAATTTCTCTTTTTTGGACCCAAATTCTCTCTTTTTTCAGTCAAAATTCCCATTTTTGAACCCAAATTCTCCCTTTTCCAGCCCAAATTCCCCTTTGTGAGCCCAAACCTTCCCTTTTTTCAAACCCAAATTGCCTTTTTAAAGCCCAAATTCTCCCTTCTTGGACCCAAATTCTCCCTTTTTGGGTCCAAACCTCCCCTGAGTACACAAATTCCCCTTTTTTACGCACAAAATTTACCTTTTTTGGACCAGAATTCCCCTTTATGGACCCAAACTCCCCATCCCCAATTATTCCCCCCTCAGGACACCCAAACTCCCCCGCACCGCTGCCAAACCGCACCCCGGACACCCAAACACCGCGGATCCCCTCAGAGCTCTCCCCAGATCTCCTCCAAACATCCCCAAAATCCCCGAAAATCGCCCCAAAGTCGCCCCGTACCCTCAGGGTGTAGACGCGCTCCCCGCGCTCGTTCTCGTAGCACTGCAGGAACATGGCGGCGCCGGCGGGAAACGGCGGCCGGAAGCCGCCTCAGGATAAAAGGGAAGAGGGGCGGGGTTGTTGCCGGAAGTTGGTGCGGGGGATGATGGGAAATGTAGTCCTGAAAGGGAGCAGGGAGTACAGCTCGACCCTGGGCATCCAATGGCAGCCAAGGGGGAAATTTGGGGGGGAAAAGGGAAAATTTGGGGGGAAAAGGAAAATTTGGGTGATATATAATATAATATAATATAATATAATA